AGAAAAATACAAAGTTCTCTATGTTTTAAATATTCCAGTAACTGTGAAAATTGCAGTGATAATTGAATATTTGAATGCCTGGCCTCAGAGTGATGGATTATTCTATCTCCTTTCTATTCCTCAAGACCTTAAAAACTGTCTCCTCTGTCCTGTCACAAAACTTCAGATTATGCTGACTGAATTCTACTGTCTGCTACACTAAATAAACTCCATAAACTTAGACTAAGAACTTTGTTTCCTGTCTTGTTCCCAACACACCATTTTGTAGCAGTCGTAGCTTCTTCTATTAAGCTTTTTTGCCAGTTGGGATTGCTTAGAACAGGTTAAATCATGAGAAAAATGCAAAATATTTGTCAGCAATTGTTCCTCTTTTTTCATAGAAATATCCGCAATGACAAATTTCCAGACAGCTCTAGGGATACATTTTCTTTGCCTTGTACTACTTCTCATCAGAGTCGTGGCTAGGACTTGCCAAATATCTTCAGTTGATATAAGAGAAACTTGATAAATCTCCTCTCTGGAGGCCTGTAACTGAGTCTAGGAGCACCTGAAAATCTCTATCAACAGACACCAAGTAAGCCATCCTCAGTAGAATAATAATATTTACAAGAAATACTATACATCAGATTTCACAGTGAACCCAACCTAAGTGTACAAATGCTACATAGGTGTTCTGTAGCTGCTCTACTTGTGTTATAGTTGGGTTTCCTCTGACCTAATGCAGATATCTATTGCACAGATGTATATATATATGATCAAGCCACAGCCAGCTCCCTTTAGAGACAGCTGAGAGAAACAAGCACTTCCAGGACACAGTTCACCTCGTCTTCATGTAGTCAGCTAAAAGAGGACTCACAAAGTGTGTCTGAGAAGCATCCATCTCCTTCCCAGACTGTATTGAGGGCCTGGGATTACTAACTTAGATGTCAGCATAAAGCTGATGAATCCTTCCCTATTTGCTTAAAATATGCTGCAATGTGGAGGAGAAAATACTTAAGTGCAAGAAATAATTCACTGTGTGCTCATTTTAAAGGAGCAGTTATGCACTGGAGCATGTCTTATATACAGAAATGTTTTAACAGTATGTTTTTAAAGTCTATATTTCTGTGCATCCTACCTCAAGGGAATAATTTTGAACAGAATTAGGCATTTTGTTGTGTTTTTTGTTTTTAATGAATGGCTACAAACGTAGGACAATTCATCCTTTGCTTAGATTCCATTACAGTGTTTCTTCTGCTATTTATCTAGTAAATAAAAAATTAATGAACAACCTAGTGCAGAAATCTGATTTTCCAAGTGAACCTCTGATTGCTCAAAAGAGCTTTCTGGATATTAATTCACTGTGAGTTGCCTTATGCCAATCACCAAGTAGTAGATTCTTGAATATAAAAGTTAGAAATAAATGTGAAATGAGGAAATTTTAAAACTGTAGAGAAAAGAGTTTATTTACTAATGTGCTTCTGTTGTGAATATATGACCCTCAAGCATTTTTTAATGTATCTCCTAATTATGTAATCAATGAAGTTTCTGATGTTTAGTGGAAGTGCTTTTTTTTTTTTTTTTTCTGGGAAAGAGCCATGAATCCATGAATTAACTATAATAGGCCCACAGACCTCCACAGTTCTCTGACAATACAGTATATTGAAAATGGCTTTTCTGTGTGGCTTTTTAAATGGGTTGAATTTATCTGGCAGAAAAATGGCATGTTTATGAACATCTCTTACAGATATCAACTGTGCTTGATACAAACAAAACAAAAGACAGGGTGTTTTCATTTCATGTAGACTCTATAGCAAATCAACATGCTCTCCACGTACTGTAGAGAGAGTAATGTGGGAAAAAGGGAGAGTGGGTCTGTGCAACTGATTTTACTAATGCATCTCCATGAAACATTTTTGCTCAGTTCTGTAGGTTGTCCCTTGTAGTGTCACAGTGCTACCTCTTCAGAGGTACTTCTGTTTATCGTTTCTCCCAACTTTGCTATTCATGTCTTGACCTAGACTGAATAGAGTAATTTACTCTAAATGATACTTCAGTGTCGGGTGGTAAATTACATGTGATGATTGAGACAGTGATGTCTACAAGTTAAAAGGGAAACATTCAGCTGTAGTCACAGTGTATTCATAGTCAACTGCACTCTCAGAGCGAACAGGCTAGTGTCATCCACAGAGTGACCTGGCTCTACAGACTGTAGGAAATTGCATACTAACATTCCCACGAGCCATAACAGGTTATTCTCAATGACTACTGTAATTATAATAAACATTATGTTGCAGGAATAAGTTCTTAGCGAATCCATGACATCCTGTTCCCTTGTATTTCAGCAGGCTGAAGATTTTACTCAAGCTTGGGAAGACTTATCCCAGTGTCTTCTTGCAGTTATTTCTCTTTCAGAATATTTCAGAATATTTAAGGTTGGAAGGGACCTCTACAGATCATCTAGTCCAACCTTCCTGCTCAAGCAGGCACACCTAGAGCATGTGGCACAGGGTGGCATCCAGGCGGGTTTTGAAGACCTCCAGAGTAGGAGACTCCACAACCTCCCTGGGCAGCCTGTTCCACTGCTCTGTCACCCTCACAGTAAAGAAGTTCCTCCTCACCTGCAGACAGAACTTCTTGTGCTCCAACTTGTGGCCATTACCCCTCGTCCTATCGCTGGCCACCAGTGAGAACAGCCTGTCCCCTTCCTCCCTGCATTCTCCCTTCCTGAACTTATACATACTAATCATATCCCCTCTGAGCCATCTCTTCTCCAGAGAAAAAAGGCCCAGCTCACTCAGCCTCTCTTCATACGAGAGATGTTCCATTCCCTTAATCATCCTGGTTGCCCTTCTCTGGACCCTCTCCAGAAGCTCCACGTCCTTCCTATACTGGGGTGCCCAGAACTGAACACAGTACTCCAGGTGCGGCCTCACCAGAGCTGAGTAGAGGGGCAGAATCACCTCCCTTGACCTGCTGGCAACACTCCTCCTGATGCAGGCCAGGATGCCATTGGCCTTCTTGGCCACGAGGGCACACTGCTCACTCATGGTTAACTTAGTGTCAACCAGAACTCCCAGGTCCCTCTCCGTGGAGGTGCTTTCCAGCAGGTCCACCCCTAATCTGTACTGATGCCTGGGGTTATTCCTCCCCAGGTGCAGGACCCTGCACTTGTCCTTATTGAACCTCATGAGGTTCCTCTCTGCCCAACTCTCCAGCCTGTCCAGGTCCCTCTGGATGGCAGCACAGCCCTCCGGAGTGTCGGCCACTCCACCCAGCTTGGTGTCATCCGCAAACTTGCTCAGGGTGCATTCCGTGCCCTCATCCAGGTCACTTTCCATGAGTCTTGTGTGTATCTGCACTTTCTAAGGTCTATGTTTAGCCAGCTTAGCTCCTCAGAGCCATATATATTTTTTCTTGTCTGTATCCAGCAAAGACAGGACCTGCAGATTTAGCCATCGGGACAGGAAGTCAAAAAAAGACACCTGCCCGAATCTTCCTCCCACGAGGCAATTACTTAATGAATTATGATGGCAAATCACATGTTAATGTAAAGTAACAACTACTGTATCATGATACAAGGGGAAGCTTTTATGATACCCTCATTTTATGATTTTTTTCAGGGATCTCAGATGAACATGATTATCTGCTTCTGAAGCACAAGACCTCTTGCTGCAACTGCAAGCATAGTTCAATTAATAAAATGCCAAAGATTAAGCAATATAAAACCTATTCTTTGCAAGCTGTCAGTACAGAGCATGTCATGTGTATTTCCTGTACTTTACATTCCTCACCGTTTAGGGAGGTGATTAGTAGTTCAGAAGGAAAGTCCAATCATCACTCAAGTACTAGTATTGCTAATATTTCATCATTCTTTGTGCATGGAGTGCAGTGCCTTACTTTGTTCCATTGGTCTGTATCCTTCAAGATAGTTTGTTGGTCCTGGTATTTTCTAATTTTCATTTTAAATGTCTTTAGGGAATGATACTACCTCTTCCCATTGAAACTGCGTACTTTCTCCGATAGAAAGATATGCCAGTCATCTAAAATACAAGAAGAAATCTAAATGCCAGATGAAATATTTAAATGATTTTTAATGGATGTTTAGTAGAATAAAAACCTGGGGGAAAATGGGATTGATTAGCACAAAAGAAAACTCCACAAGTTGACATTCTTTGTTGTAATAGTATTTTTTTTTCAATTCAACCTATATGTGACTTTAAAAAATGTATTTCCTTAATCTTGATGAAACCAGAAGTGTAATGGATCCTGTGTTAAGAGTCTTCTGAGGAAGCTAACAGCACTGTCTGAAGAAATGAGATTAGTTTGGAAGAGGGCACAAAATCTAGCTATGAGTATTATTGATCTTTTTTGCAATATAACAACTTTAGTTACCTGAAGAGTAAACAGAAAGCAGTAATCCAGATACTTATCAGAGCTCCCTTAAAAAAAATACATATATATGTATTTATGTACAACATAGAAAATATAGACATACTCTCTATTCAAAGCAGTTGCTTCTAATTACTCAGTGTTTTGAGCAGGAATTGTTCAGCTTAGTCATCGTTCATTAATTAGAAAATATATGTTAGTGAAATGTTGACAAAAGCATGGCTGAGCCCAAGCTCCAAGACTGAGCTTTTGGCCAAGCAGATTAACAAGGTCAGATTTCATTTCTTCAATGGTTCGGGAAACATAAAGGTGCCTGGCAATCATTGTCACTGTCATTTCTAATATAAAGTCATTTTATTTTGAACCACAGACCACAAAGATTTTTTTTTTCCCTTTGTGTCATGACAGCACTGTTAAAATAATAAGACAAGTCTTGAAGGAAGATTTATGGAGCTTCACATGGTCATATTGGCTTCCTATACCTGACAAAACGAAAGACCCCAAAGTTGCCCAATATGATATAGTGCAAGCATGAGTTATGGTGATTTTCATGTGACACGGAGCAGAAAATGTGTTCTCGACAGGATATTTATATCTGTAATTTAAACCCTGTGCTTTGGTTGTCCTAGATGATAGCAAGTTTTCAGAGGCCATCACAGTGCTGCTCACGTGGATTGAGAGAGGCGAGGTGAATCGTCGCTCTGCGAACCAGTTTTATTCGATGGTGCAGTCAGCAAACAGCCACGTTCGCCGGCTCATGAACGAAAAGGCTGCTCATGAGCAAGAAATGGAGCAAGCCAAGGAGAGCTTTAAAAATGCCTTAACAGGGATCCTCACTCAATGTAAGTAGCCCCTTTTTGTCCAGTGTCGTTGTAGTGCTGGTGGTGGTGGTGGTAGTAGTATTTTTTATCGTTTATTTGTTTGTTTGGGGGTAAGTAGTTGCAATGCAGTCATATTCTACTTCATATGCTATCTCATACTCTATGGCAATTTGGAAGAACAAGGACCATTCCTAAGAGCTTATTTCTCAAGGTGAGCAAAGTTTCAGTAGTTTTTTTATTAATAAAGACATGAAGACTTGTGGCATGTTGTCCACAGTTATGTAAACCTAACGCTTAAGGAACGAACCAGACAGAAGCAGCCCTGAAGATCATGCTTTATGTGGAGAGAAGTGTTTTGTAACCTGTGAGTGAGACAAGAGGACAATTAGGATATATATTTAGGCTAGGTTTAGGACTGAACAATCCATAGGGATATAATCACAGCATATCACGCCACCTCCACAGTAGAAAGAATATGCTATTCCACTGCTGGCAGCAGGACTGCTTGGCTGGTACAATGCCAGTGTTAATTTGGCAGATAAACTGTCTTAAATATTTAGTGCTGGCAGCTATTTCCTTAGTACAGAAGCATCATCAATAAAGTGACCCTAATGGGGTTCCCTCATAAAACAATAATCAGGGTGTACCTGCCTTGAGGTAATCTTGAAAAGAAGGAAAAAGGTGAGGAGAGGAGAGGAGAGGAGAGGAGAGGAGAGGAGAGGAGAGGAGAGGAGAGGAGAGGAGAGGAGAGGAGAGGAGAGGAGAGGAGAGGAGAGGAGAGGAGAGGAGAGGAGAGGAGAGGAGAGGAGAGCTGCAAGGTTTAAATATGTCCCTGCAACACCTCTGAGTCCATCTCCTTTGTCTAATTGACATGGAAGAAAGACCTCATGCTGCTCAAGAAAGAGTCATCGAAACTCTCATAAAGATGGAGTCTGGAGTGAACTCTAGTACTCAAGTTAAAAATAAAAAGCAAGACAGTTCACCAATTGAGAGGTTCATGTGGTTGTCATTGTAACTTCTGAATCACATTCCTAAGCTTTACACAAAAAAAAAATCCTAAACTCCTTCCTGCAGTAATATTCTTGTACCTCAAGGATCTTCATTCAGAGTTGGGGCTAAAGCTTGGATGGACTTGCTGAAGCTTTCTGGGTTAGGAAATTATCCCCTGTGAAGCATTCTGCATAGATGGTGGAGAACTGAGACCCTCAGAAAAACTCTTCAGGTCTGGTGCAGCTGTGCTTCTAATTTTGATGACTTTCAGTTTAGATTCCTGAACTTAGGAAGAAAGAATCTGGTCCAAAGCAACTTGATTTTTGAGGACATATATTCAGTGAGAGAAATTTAAAGATCCACAGTATCTTTAAATATCCCCGGTAATTTGCCTAGGCAATGTCATCCTCCATCTCAGCAACTAAAAGGCAGAGATGCAAGCACCACACATAGCTATGCTGTTCAATTCACACCAGGACCTCTGTGTTTTCATGTGCAACAGCCAGCTCTGGTATTCAGAAATGCCTTCTTTAGCTGCATTAAAAAATCCCCCATTGTCAGCAGGCTGAACCTTAGTTAAATCTGTCTAAATTAGCCTGTTTGTCACCAACTGTTGTGGAACATCTGTCACTTGGAAATCCCTGCAGTTTCAGGTGGAAACTTGCAGTTTGGCTGTATGGTTGTTTCCGTAATGTGCTGAGTGTTGAACTTTCAAGAACAGAAATGGCTCTGGCTTCAAAGCGTAAGTGTCAGAGTGACACATCCATGGCAGTGGCCAGGAAGGAGAGGATATCTGGCAGATCTGGCCTGTGAGAACTAGGTTGGTGAAAAGGTAGGCTCATGGAAGCATTAAACTCTGTGAATTCCATAAGAGCAAATTTTATGAGCACTCCAGATGCTCCACATTGGTTATTTTATCAACATCATAAGCATTGCCCATTATTAGCATTAATGTAACTTATTAAAATTCTCTGCAAACTTGCCATGAACAGATGGATGGTGCTTTGCTCTGCATGTGTATACGACTAAGATTACTATACATGGACACTGTGAAGTGAACTTTCACTTTTCAAGATTCTTCTTGTATTTGAGTTGATTTGAGGGATGTTTTTTCATGCTTCTCTCTCCATTGGTTTCAAAAACACTGACATAGCTGATTGTAACACATAGTTTGCTTTATGAAGATGAATCTGATGATACTTAATGTCAAAAATAGGTGTGTGGTCTATTAAGTTCTGTAGAATGATAAAAGAATTCTTCTGCTCTTCTGCAGCAAGTTTTCAAAAGTCCAGTGTAATGCTGCACCTGTGTGGTCATTTGACATAAATATTCCAGGATTTTTGAAACTGTGGATTCTTCTGTCATGACCTAGGTGTCCAAAATTTAGATGGCCCACTTTCAGCTGATAATTCTAGGTTTTCTTTACAATCAGCAGAGAAAAAAAAAATCATCTTCAGGGGATGAATCATCACACTCACATCCTCCAGTGAGATGAAACCTCTGCTGTTGTTAGAGAACTTTGCTGGTGCCTAATTTTGAAACAGACATTTAGTTTTTGTATGATTGGTTTGGAGCAGATTAATCTTACATATCACGTGAAGTCTTTCCATATGCAGAAGGACACATTGAGAGGGAAGAATCTGGAATTAGTTAAAAATGCTAGCATTGTATCAAACAGTGAGAATTATGGTTAGTGAAGAAGAAATACCTTAAGAAAATGGGCTTAAAGTGCACTCACCTGGAACACATACACTGTGTATGTGGGTCTCAGTATAAAATGCTTTCTTATTAATGAGGATTAGTGTGGCCAGAACATTTCAGCTTATGGCCTAGCCACTAAGGAAATACAGGTATCGAAATCCCTGCTACAAATTTCTGCCTGTAGGTATTTAGAAGATTACCAAGAGGATTACCCCTAAAAATTTGGGTCAAGTGTTCAGTACGTGAATTAATTACCTGACCAAGATACTAGTGCCAGTTTAATCAGCAAAATAAAGTGTATTACAGCTGTCACACCACCAATTTACAGCCCCTGATTTAAGTTCTACAGGGAACCTGAGCCTTGTTATGTTGCTTCGTCAGTTATTTAAAGGATAAAGAGAGAAAAACGTCAATTTCCTTCTTTTTATTAACTTATGTAGCTTCCCTAGATGTGAATCAGTGTTTGAAATGCGGATAGCTTTCCTGGATTTCTGATAGTTCTGCCTTTGCAGTTTGATTTCCTAAGTTGTTCTGCTTTGCTTCCATGGCAGTTATATGTCACTTTGCTCCCTGACTTTCCACACATCTCTTTTTTTTTCCCCTCCAAAATATTTTTCAGCCTAAGGCTGAAGCCCAATGCTTACTGACATTGATCATCATGTTTTAAAAAACGAAGACCCTAGAGATATGCATGTTGGGTTGTTTTTCACGTTACACCCAAGTTGCAATTCTCTCCTCTGACATCTCCTTTTCACACTGTATATTTCATCTACCTGTTACTCAAGTTTTGAACTATTTAGGGCAATTGACAACACTTTCCAAAGTGCCTATAGGTGACTGAAGAGCCAAAATCCCAGAATTCTGATTCAGAAATGAATTAGTTACCTGAAGGGGATGGAAGTGCCCTGAAATGTTGTATCCAGTCAGTGTAATTAACAGAAGTACCCCACAATTAGGTACTTAGCAACTAATGGCACTCACCTATTTGACTATTTTTGTCAATCTTCATAATGGATGAATCTGCAAGAGATTCAGGTGTCAATGCCGCGTGAGATGAATCAATCTTTCTTATTCCTGTCAGGGAATAGAGGGAGAGTAGTTTTTGTCCAGTAGCCGAGTGGTTAGATTTCTTTCTTGACACATACTAGCCTTTGTTTTCACTTCTTCAGCCTCTAAAGAACCTCAGTGGTTAGTGGTCAGGACAGTCTTTTGGACAGTCTTTTGGAAAGATGAACTTGAATGTTTGAATATGCTTGAATACCCTGAATGCCAGGAAAGGAAGTGAACCTAAACTTTCCCCCTCCCCAAGACTACTCTAAATAGTGAGGGCTGATGATCTGAAAGGTAAGGTTTGCTTCCCTTAGTGCATTTAATTTAGCAAGTTCCCAAGTAGACTCCTGCCTCCCAGAGCATCATACTTCAATAACTACATTTATAGCACATCTTCAAACAGGGGATGTGCATGTGTACTCTAATTAAATTTATATGCATAAGGCCTTTTTGCATTACCATGTGTGAAACTCTTCCCCTGTATTTAGTAGGAAACCTGAGCTTCTAACTCACCATAGTTGATTATGGACAATCACTGGGACCGTTCAACTTTTACTCAAGGCCTGAGTGCCAAAATACTAGTCCAAAGATATGGATAGACTAATGATTCATCCTACAGGGTAATCTGGAATATGAAACTACAGAGTAAGATTCTCCACTGTAACTAATCATGGATCTTTCCTTACCTCCTGGTGGACATGAGGTTGCTCAAAAGGGATAATATCAACACTTCAGTAGTGGCTTGTACACTAATTTGAATCAGGAGGATGTGGTATACTACAGGTTCTCATCCTACTTTGGCAAGTGATAATTACATCACTGGGTTTCAGTGAGAAATTTTTGAAAATAGGGCATAGACTCACTTTCATATGTTTGAAATTTGTGACCCTAGATTTTATTTGCAATGACTAAGTGCCAAGCCCACTGTTGGCATTAAGCAAACAACAATCCAGCACAGCACTCCCCAAACTCAAACTGGGCCAGTGTACACCAGTAGGCTACCATGGTATTTCCAGGGAAGAGCACAGACAGGCTGCATACCAAAACTTTTCTTGGTGTTTCAGATACTAAGTATCATGACATCAACACAAAAAGGAAAACCAAGGGATTATAACACTTAATATACTTTACCAATGATAGCATGTAATCCTCACTGGAACTGCTGGAATATTTGTACTGAAAATAGGTTTTGTCACTAGCTAGAAACAGAATACTGGCTAGTGAAAGTGACATGAAGCTTCACTAGCTAGTGAAGAAAAGCAGAATCTTTTTCTTGGCAC